GTCCCAGCCTCCCAGTCGCGAGTCGCCGCCGCCAGTCCCAGCCTCCTAGTCGCGAGTCACCACCGCCAGTCCCAGCCTCCCAGTCGCCACTCGCCGCCGCCAGTCCCAGCCGTCGCAATCGCACGCGAGTCGCCGCCGCCAGTCACCGTAAGTGTTTTTTTGCTTGATTGATGTGTGTTATCAACTTATCACATTGTCACCGTATGGATTGTCACAGCTCACCGGAGATGATTAATGTTTGTTGTGTTCACCGGTTTGGATTTTAGAATTCCAAAATGTTGTCATTTTTTGGAGATGATTAATGTTTGTTGTGTTCACCGGTTTGAAATTGTTGTCATTTTTTGGAGATGATTAATGTTTGTTGTGTTCGCCGGTTTTGAATTCCAAATTGTTGTCGTGTTTTGGTTCCGGTTTAGCTTTGGTCATTTCAGTCGTCCACGAATCCACCTCTTGATGGATTGGCTGCAATCCAATCCATCAAGTAGTTTTGTTATCATTTTTTGGTTCCGGTTCTAGCTCTGCTCGTGACTCATGAGTGGATCTTTTTGTTTCTGCTTGTTTGTTTCTAGCCGAGAAAGATTGAAGAAGAGTGAAGACTTTGAAGATTTTGGTTTCTGGTTTGGAATTCAGGAAGAGGAGAAAGCAATTGAAAACAGAAAGGTTAGAGAATGGTTTGGAATTCATGTGTTTCGGATATGTGATATGTTTGCTTTTATGTGATATGAGAAAATGTGATATGTTTGCTTTTATGGTTTGCTATGTGATATGTTTGCTATGTGAGAAAATGTAAACAGAAAGGAGACTAGTTGATATGTGATATGTTTGCTTTTATATGTGATATGTTGGCTTTTCACTAGACGTTGAAAATGTGATATGTTATCTATTTTTTAGGTTACTTGCGTGCTAGATGGAAAAATTTATCATCAAAACTTCTGAAAGCACTTGCAAGTCTTCTGCTGAAACTGAAAGTGTCTCTATGCCTAAAGAGCCCATTACATTGCCCACTCCCACACCCAGCCCTACTCCTATACCTAATTTGGGCACTACAATTGAAAATGAAAAAGAGGAGGGAGACAGTAAAAAGAGGAAGAAGTCACAAAAAAAGTCTCCTGTTTGGGATCATTTTAAAATCATAGAGAGTGGGGATCCAAATGAGCCTAGGTGTAAGTGTATTTATTGTGGGGCAACATATGCGTATGATAGTAGGAGGCACAGTACCAGTAGTATGAAAGTTCACATCGAAAAGTAATGCAAGAAATACCCATATAGGAACCAAGACAAAAGGCAAAAAACTCTGAGTTTCCAAACAAACACTGAAACTGAGAGTAGTCTTGTTGCTATAGGCTTTAACAAGGAGCATTGCAGAAAAGCGTTAGCAAAAATGGTGATTGTAGATGAGCTTTCATTTAGGTTTGTTGAAGGTGAAGGATTTAAGAATTTTTGTCAAGTGATGCAGCCTAGGTTCTCTATCCCCTCCCGTGTTACGATT